AAAAACAAATGAGTTATCCAGCGGGACCTTTGTGTAACATTCCACATAGAAAAGCATGGGCCCAAACACAGACTGTGCAGCCTAACAGCACCACCAAGTTAGGCCTTTCTGTTGCCCATAGAACACTTGGATAGAATCCAAACCGTAAAACATAACACATCAAACAAAATTCCATCTCATCATGGGACTAGGGTCTTGCATTCAGAACCATAAAATTCACCCGGATCAATCATACTCAGTTATGCTCATCGCGAAAAAATGGAGCTTTTCAAGCGACAAGCACATGGAATAATACACAGACCCAAACACGAAAACATAATGATATATGCATATGCACATGAGCACACATACATAGATACGGGAGCTCTTTCTTGTACCTGACAATCCAATAAGGGTTTCACAGTTCACATTTCGTTTTTTAAGGCCACGTGCTCCTTTGTTCTTCTTCTGACATTCTGCTCTGTAATTCAATAAAGAATTATGATTATTTATCATATATTTTCTGTCAGTAGCTTTAGAACTAAATGCAGAGCTTGCTCTATCCTTTTCAATTTTTCAAACTAGTAGTTGGGTAAAATTTACTAAAATGACATGTCAAACCAAATTGGAAACCATTTACGGGAAAAAGGTTTATACAACACTTGCCTGCATAATGCTCTCAATGAATTCACGAGGACTGTCAGAATTTTGTATTTTTTATTGTGTTATTAATTATCTAACTTCCTCAAATATTTATCAAACAACTTTGTCCCAAACTAGAAAATTGTGGAAAAGCTATTCTGCGAACAGATAATTATGAGATTTGTTGAAAAAATAAGAAGGGCGAAACACGGCAAAATAAACGATAACTGTTTCATTTTTTCATTATTTTTTATTTGGAACAATCAAAATAGGCCCAGAAGTTCAAAATCGACCACTAACCTTCATTGTCACTCAAAATTCAGCCTCCGTCAGCATACCTCCAATTACAAAATGCTTGTGAGGCCTCTGCAATTCACTGCCAGTCACAGTATTTAGTTACACAACCTATAGGTGGGATTTAGCCACCGTATGACAACTATTAAAATGAGTTTTTTTTTTTGGAAAAATGAATTTTGGAATAGTAAATTTTTGGAGAATGCGTGGTTAAAAAGTAGGAAAAAGTTTTGGGGTTGCATGCAAAATATTTTATTGTGAGATTGTGTGGTTAAAAAATGAGTTTGAGAAAAAGAGTTTTATTTTAATGGTTGTCAAACACGGACTTAAAGTAAAAACCTATATAAGAATACAGAACATAACAAACCAACAAACTATAAATATCAACTGAACTGCACGGTTGTAAATTGTAATCTCACAGAAGGAACATCAGGTTCTTTTTTTTTGGTTCATCTTGTAAGAGAAATATATGGTTGTAAAGGGAGGTGAGAAATTGGAAGTAGCACCAACTTCAAAAGAGCCATTTAGCTTCTACTTTAGGTTCCTTTTGAGCCCCATTTCTTTAGAATAGACTTTGTAAAAAGTAATTTTCTGGAAAATGTGTGGTTAAAATGTAGATAAAAGTTTCGAGTTTACATGCAAAATTATTTTATTGGGAGATTGTGTGGTTGAAAATAAGTTTGAAGAAAAATGGGTTTTAAAGAATGTGGCTCAAATAGGGGTTAAACATTGAATAAAGTAGTATAAAGGATTAAAATAATTAATACGATTCACAGGGTATTTTATTTGACAGCAACTCAACAGAAAGCACTGAACATTTTGTCCGGTGAGAAACTAGTTGTTTTTAATGAAAGGTCAAAACACTGTCCCCAACTTCCTCATTTCTTTATATCTTCAAATCATATTAGTTCAATTGCAATTTTCACATCATAACATCCAATAACTGCATATTAACCTACCTGACTTGCTCCTATGGAGCCAAGGTCATAAAGTCAGAAAAACTTCTCACATAAATGAGATTTGAAAATATGATTCCAGCCTCTGAAAGATGCATGCACCATGCAGCAAAGCACAAGTGGCCAAGTCACTTTTACAATTAAATATATGAATTTATATTTACTTGCCCTCCTGCAGTAGCTTTATATGATGCTCCGTTTCTGCCGTGCTAACTGTTCATCCTGAAATGGAGCACATCAGGCTATTCAGAGGTAGCTTTTCCAGTTTTTCCATGAAATGCAATAGAGCTGAGTCTGGTCATGAGTCGCCAGATACATTAGCCCCTTACTTCCCTGAGAACATAAATGTGAAAAAATAATCCAATATAGATTCACTATGTTCCATAATTATCAGATCCGGCCTGGACATTGACCCAGGTCATTGGTTCGACCGGCATTTTATTATGAGATGTAAATCTAAATAAAAAATAATTTGATATAATGTAATGAATTAACAATAATTTATAGAAGTAAAGTCACATCATAATATCAAAATGTGTTACATGACATAAGTAAGTAATCAAAAGACAATGTAGTCATATTTTCTTGCTTTTGTTTTTTGCATATCAAATTAGAGGTGTGTTATAAGTTTTTCCTCTTTCATATTCCCCTTATCGTGTCAAGGAATTTCATTCCTTACGAATTTAAATTTGACTCTAGACTTTAAAAGATAAATAATGATCAATATAGTAGCCATCGCAGAATAAGACACAATTTATTATTTCTACATTATCCAGTACATATTATAGTTAAGGCCATACACAACTAATAAGCAGCCTAATGGACAGGAGATTACAATGTAACCTGGAGGTTCCAGGTTGGAATTCATTTATAAATTTTGAGCAAACCAATTCAATTCATGAAATGCATAGGCAGTTAAACTCCACAGGGTTCTTCCCAGCTAGGATGTATTGACATCCTCCATGCACAGGCGAGTCGGTGTCCTACATGTGTTGGACACCGACACACCACCAAAACGTCGCCAACATGTGTTGGTAATGTCCGTGGTATATCCAAATTATTTTTGATTTTGTATAGTTGGACACATTGCCAACATGACCAGAAATATATCCGCCACAGGTAACATGTCCAAAGAATATAAGAAAAAATCCCAGAAATTAGCAGCCCCCTTTCCTCCGCACAAAACTATCATTCAATTAGGGTATACTCGATCCTGTAGGTTATAGCCCAACAAAATAATTCACGGCGAAAAAGCTATACTGACATATAAAATAAGTGGGGGAAGCTAAAACGCCGATATAGAATGCAGATGCTCTGATTATTACCGTTTTGCGTAGGCCAGCAACGCCAGGACATCGACAAAAGGCTTATACTTGGCACGCTTCATCACCTGCCCATCAGCCATGCTTGATAGCTCAAGTATATGCAAACAACAATTCAAAGAATGAATACTCAATTCGGAACTGAATTAATGGATAAGAATAGTAAAATTATCCCCTTCATAATGAATTCAAATTGGTAATCGGCGAGTAATGGCTTAATGAAGTTATCTTGAGAAAGAACCGGTGAATTGTGAAAATGGAACAATATGTTCTATTTTTTCGATTTTGTCCGGTCCTATTTTCCCCATGGAACAATATGTTCTAGATAGAAAAAATTTATGCCTCCAAGATAAGTTTTACACGAAAATCATCGGCTAAAATTGAGAATCGAATTAGAACTACCAAGAGTCCAATCGATTTAATTAGTACCGAACCAAAGCAGTTGGTTCAATCCAATCGGTTCTGAATAAAAATGTTCAACTTTAAATGACATAGACTTGGATTGATATGTAAAAAAACGAATTATTATTAATTCACAAAGTTTGTGCATTTACCCCTTGTTTGTTGGGCATTATTCAACTCATTAATAGAATAATTGTGACCGTTACTAATCAAAGTGGGACTTACCCGTGACAGCTTTGTCAGAAAAAAAGGTCTGCTAGAAGGTACAATAACGGTCCAATTTTTTCTAGTTTTGGTGGAATAATGCACAACAAACAGGGGCTTATATGTACATTACGGGAAATTGGAAATCTTTTAACCATTTAAAAGAGTTGAAGTCGATAAAATTGTTAGTCTGATTTGATATACAGGCCCCGTTCGGGAGGGATTAAAAGTCAATTAAAATTGAAAATATGGCCGTTATTGGGTCCCACTCATCTAATAAAAGTCAACAATAACGGCTATATTTTCAATTTTAATCCGATTTTAATTCCTCCCATACAAGGCCACAATGTTGTCAAAACTCATAAAATTTAATAACAGGAATAGTGAATATGTAACTTGTCTAGTCATGCAAGAGTTGGGAATTCGTGGTTGTAAGAAACTTTTCATACGCAAGTCGAAATAAAGGGAAAGTTCAAGATTTTAGAACTTCCGCATCTATACCTTTTCCCTCGAGCATGTATTAGTTAAGATTGCTCGACTAAACCTAGCTGCTTGGTGTTCTTTTCTTTGTTCCTTGTGGGACACAATTCACTAATTCTTGTACCCTTGTAGAAAATCAACAGAAAGTGAATCGAGGGCTTCGACTATACATTTGGTTGTTCTTCAACTCTGCGAAACCAAAACCATTTCACTGTCTAGCATCTCTTTCATCGCTTGCACGAAAGATCAAGGGAAGGAGATTGTAAAGCAAAACAGAAATAAAACGAAATATTCCATAAAACAAGCACAAAATATCAAGGGGAGGAGATTGTAAAGCAAAACAGCGACAAAATGAAATATTCAACAGAGGAAGGGTCTTCTATGTCTAGCATATTATACGAAATATTCCATAAAACAAGCACAAACTATCAAGGTGAGGAGATTGTAAAGCAAAACAGCGACAAAATGAAATATTCATCGGAGGAAGGGGCTTCTATGTCTAGCAGTCCATAAGATTAAAAAGGCGAGATTCATCCAAGTCTAAAAACCTCCTATGTAACTAAGGACCATTTTAAATATTCTTGTGTCTGAGAAAAAGTTCCCCTGTTGTGGCTTTCGAGTCTCCAAGTCATAAACTAAACCCTTCTGAAATCTTGAGGAGTGCACAAAAAATTGTTGAAGTACAACAGAAAGGAGATCACAGGCATACTTTAGACTTGGCTCATTCTTTTGGATCAGTTTCAGCACTCTTAGCTTCATGAAATTCAACTTCCGAAGCAGAAGATGCAGAAGTTAGATGTTCAGGTACGGGAAGGGGAATCTCCTTCATATTTTCCTGCAAAGCCTTGAACAAAGCATATCCCATTTAGGATTTATATATAAATATCTCGTGTACATAAACTATTGAGATGTTTATATAAGATGAGGCAACATCCTACCTGCAAAAGTTCAGTCATCCTTCCAGTTCCATAATTGTACAGAGGTGTCGAGACAGATGCAGTTTGTGAGGCCACAGTTGAGAAGGATCCATTGACACCATAATCTTCAGGTGAAGGTTCCCATGCATCCTCACCATTTTTTTTGTGAACCTCTGATGATCTTGAAGAGCCTGCCATTTGTAGCTCCATAGATTCCATGCCTTTCTCTCCTTTTTCAACCTCAGGCGTGCCTTCTTCTGATGAAGCATTTTCATTCTGCACACTATCTTGTGCACCTTGGTGCCCAAATTGGGGTTGTACGGCAATTGGAATCTGGCCAGCAGGTATAGATTGAACAGGTGGTAACATAGCTAATGGTTCAACTGTCTCCACATCTTTGTCCTCCAAAAACAACATAGAAGCAGCTTGGGATGCACCAGAAGACATTTGGCTGGAAGTTGGCAGCCCACCTGATGGATTGACAGGTTGCAATACAACAGGAACCACAGTGCCCCTCACGCCCACTGGAGGAACAGAAGAAACAACCTTTGGAGATGCGTATTTGCGTTTTGCGCCTACTGTACCAGCTGTTTGAATTGCAAGTTTCTGGGCACGCGACCAAGTTTGGTTTGGAGCTGAGAAGTGTATATCATTTCTTCTGATCATTTGAACGTGTGGGGCTATGTCATTCTCAGCTGTAACAGGAACGTAATGTCCTGGCTTGAAAACAACACCTCTCAAAGTTGTATTGGAGTTGCCAATTCTAACAGTGAGCATATACCCAGCATCAAAGGTGGCCTCAACAACACCAGTCACTGCCTGGCCCACCATATTGTCATTTCCATCTACTCTATCTACTTTATGGGGACGGTGGTTTCCTTGCGCTCCTACAAAACCAGGAGGTCCACGTGCAGTTTTAACACGTTTTAGGTTTGGATCTTTCCGAGGGCGGCCACGTCCCCGCTTCGCTGCTGGGACTGAAGGAGTACTAGAGTCGTCCCCTTGGAAAACTTGATTCATTTTCAAAAATTACTGCTAGCAGACAACGCCTGTTTAGATCTTTGGCTCTGTAAACAAATAAATCAACAAATTAAGGATTTTACCTCATCTTCACCTTCCTGGAGGATGATGGTTCTAGGTAGCTCTAACAGTAAAATTCATAAATTCGACATGAATTCACCTATTTTCATTTATTCAGATAAAACAAGCAAATTTAACTCCAAAAGCAAAGGAAGCATCTAAGTTCATATTTGAAGATTCAACATTAGCTAATCCATCCAGGGAATGAGACTACAGATGTTAGTTATGAAACATATATACAACAAAAATTTAAAGATCTAGACCATAACAAATAAAATGGCAGACGTATATGCTAGGAATATAAAAAAAAATATGTGTGTGTGTGTGTGTGTGTGACACATATAACTTGGGAAGTGCTGATCGATCCTTTCTGGGTAAAAAAATTAGCTGAGGAAGGAGCAATGTTGAACCATATATACATTTACAGAAACAGATACAAAAAATGGCTATTAACAGCAGTGTGGTAAATGGAGAATATTAGCTTGAATTAGAGCAAATATAATGTTGAACACAATGTTATCAAAGTGATGATGCCTTCATCACAACTCAAACCATCCATATAGAGCATATAAATATAAAAATAGGAACGATGACCATTCACTCAATCTTTAGCTGCCAAGCCGTTGTATGTTTTTAATATCATTTATTACAACAATGATCTGATTGAGATTTACACAACCTCAAACAGATAACGAAAATGTTAGAAAGCGTCACAGATTACTCGTCACCCACAGAATTACATGATCTATGACAAAGATAATAACGCCATGGTAAACCTTGATGACTCTTTGTATACGGCGATAAATGCGGCTAAGATTTCCCTTACCAGACAGGAAGAGCATTAAATAGGAGCTATTTTCATTTGACCTATATTCTTTTACAAATAATAATGCAACTTCAAAACGATATCAAATGGAAAAGTGATGCAAGAGCTGACTAGTATATATTAAACAAAATTCTCATGTTCTTGCTCTTTATACAATAACAATCCTTATCTTAGACAAGTAGGACGAGCCTCAAATACTGAAATCGACAACTCTAAAAATGACTAAATTTCATTCAACATGCAACTAAAAATGCATAAATTTCAATTCATATCATAGCCGAACAACAAAGCAAGGAGCAAATTCTAACAATGAGCAACGACTCAATTGCATACAAGAATGGTGGAGTCCAAGATTCTGAACAAAAAAATTGTTAAGGAGAATTCACACAAGATGTATGAAATATCAAGACTATGGGATGCGAAGTTGAATTCATCACAAGGTAATGAATTGTCAAGATACGAAATTTTTTTTACCCAAGCAACGAATTTGTCCAATGAAAGCAAGCTATTCCGTTCGCTAAAGATTCTATCGTTGGAACTTGTACGCCAAAAGAATAGGGATGTCAATAGGACAGGTTCAGGATAAGACGGTCATTTCGTGCCCCTACAGGGATTTTTCTCCTTGAACCCCACTTAAGTCGGGGCGGGCCAGGGCACTTATTTGGCCCATTTACTGCCCCTTTAACGTATATTATTTTTATTTTTTATCTTTGAAATTGTATTTTTAAATAATACTAAACGGGGCGGCCGATACCATGTCCCCGCCCTCGATTTCGGGCAAGGTTTCTTGCACTCGAGGATGAAAAATTCCTGTCCCGTTCAGGTCAGGGCCCATGGATCTCCAATCAACTGGGTTTCTAGCCATCTCTACTCAAGAAGCATAATCCCCGTAGGCCTGCATTTGTTTTGTAGAGTGCAATAGCTCATTTGGATGGTGGTACCAAAGAAAATAGAAATAATCTTAAATGATAAGAGCTACCAATGTTGACTTTTCAGAGAACTTCTACTGTTCATTGTCAAGATTAAGATTCGCGCCAAGTTTCAATCTCACTAAGGGATGAAAAACCTTATTGCAATAGGAAAAATGATCAATATCATTCATTGGTTAGATAAGTGGTGGTGACCGCCGCAAATTAAACGGGGTTGAGGAATTGATAAAGAAAATGATATCCTTGAAATTGAATTATCTATTGACTTCGAGAATAACGCAATGATGGTAATAGATGACCCTGAAGATCATATGACACAAACAAAGGTTCAATGTCATTCACATCAGGAATAAGAAAGGCAAAAAAAATAATAAGTGCAAAACTATTCTTAAAATTATCTTTGAGAACAATGGGCGTCTCTAAGGGGGCAGAAGGATAGGGTTCTATATTAGAATTTTATTCTTTTATTTTCAAATAGTAATTATACGTTTTCGTTTTTTTTTTTTTCGACTTAGTCAAAATATCAGTGGTAAGTTGCATGAGTAGTGAATAGTACGGAGCAGAAGTGCGTCTTGATTTTGTATTTGAAAGGTTGTTGGTTCCTCAAATTACTGACATCATTTCAAGAGGTCTAGATTGTTGTTCTCTTCTATTTTGTTTTATTAGTCATTACGAAACTAGAGTTCGTAATAGTACACAAGATTATAAAGAGACAGTGCCGTCATGAGAAACCATCCGTATAGATCATATGAATAAATAGTGGAACTATGACCTTGTAGTTAAAGCATGTATGGGAATTGTTTATAATTGTTTTAAATTGTAAATAGATATAAATGGTTGATAAGTGAGTGTACTTGTAAGTCCTACGAAATGTGTGGATAAAAAATAGTTTGGCCAAAAGTGAATATAATTTAAAGACTTGTCAAACAAGGGATTAACCAATATGCCAGTTACATTATAACTTGTATTACCTGCCATATTCTACCGCTACACTTTTTAATATAATTTACTCCAGCAATAATCTGTTTCAGATTTCATACAGTCTCAAACAGCTATTAAACATGATAGGAGAAGTGCCAGCATACCACAAATTACAGGGTCTGTGACCAAGATGATAAACTCCATGGTAAACATTGATGAGTAACGTGGATGTGACATTATCGTTTCAATGAAGAAGCATGCGACTGGCGAAGTATCAATGCCAGCTCTTAAGGAAAGAATAACAAAACAGGAGAAAATTTGGGTTCAAGAAATTGAAAATTGAGAGTAGTACTACAACCTAAAGAAGCAAAATTTGGTAAACGCTGAAACTCTCTTGTCAAGGGTATGGGGCATACTGCCAATAGTGTGTCCCACCCTTCTGTGCGACTGCTGAGACATACCGAAATTCAGCTGATATAGAAGCTTCCTTAAGAAACTTGGCATGTACAGCCCACGGTTAACTTTAGTTCATGGGAAATTACAAAATGTAACAGTATTGCAGCTTTTTCACCTAATGTACCCATTAGCACATAGTGATAAAGGTGGCTAAGACTTCCTATTTGAAATAACACGAGCGTTTAAATAGGAGCTATTTTAATTTACCTTCTATTCTTTTACAAGTAAGAATGCAGGTTCAAACTGGCATCAAATGAAAAAGTGGTCCAAGAAACTGACTGAATCGTACATATAAAACAAAATATTTGTGTTCTTCTTCGTTCTTTATATGATTAGCAATCCCTATATTTCTTCTTCTTAGACAGTAGGCTGAGGCTCAAATACTTCATATCGCAGCACATCAACAATTCTAAAAACACCTAAATTTCAATCAACAAGCAACAAAAATCCTATGAACGCCCAAGTTTCAATCAACATGCACCAAATAATAGTAACTAAAAAGGCCTAATTTTCAATCGATATGCAACAAAATATACTAACTAAAAATGCCAAAAGTTCAATCATGATGCAACAAAAAAATGCTAAATAAAACAGTCTTAATTTCAATTAACATGCAACAAAAGAACTAAATAAAAACGCCTAAATTTAAAAAAAAAAAAATTTGGATTATAACACCAAAAACCACACCAACGAATAATAGTAAATAAAGCCTTAATAATACTTCACAGAAACGAAGTTCGAACCTTTTACAGTATCATAGCAATCTTTTAGCCGAAAAAGTGATAATATGACCAAAATTACAAAATACACGTAGTAAAGGGATGCAATTGCAGGTATGATGAATATGGAATAGCAATAAATTAAAGCAAAATTAAGAAAATAATAACTAAATAAAAATAAGAATTTGATGATAATTGAAGACTTTACCTTCGAAGAATTACTGAGCGATTGCGGGAGTAATTATTATTTACGATAAAGATTAAGTACAGTGAGAGGGTAATTAAGAACCCTAGAATGGTTGAGTTGGGAAAGGGTGAATTAATTGAAATAGGTTTTGGAAAGTTAGAAGGATATTAATTTTATTTTCTTAATTACTTGCGAAGTTAACTATGCGCCGAAATTCAAGGAATTAAAAATTAAGAAAAATTGCAATATTGTGCTTGGTATTCAACTTGTTCCTTGGACAGGTTCGAGCTACAACTTTGTTGTGTTAGTAATATTTTAATAATTGTTCTTCGAAAAAAAATAAAAAATAAAATAAAATCGTATTGTTAATAAAAAATAAATACGATGTTTCTAATTTTGAATTGATCCGTTTTGGGTCTAAACTGGTTGGTTTTTAAATGAATTTTTAATGAGTTTTAAATTTTAATTTTATTGTATGCATTAGTGGTTTCGAATTGAAGAAATCATCTGGTTAAATTAATATTAATCACTTATTTGGCGAACTTTTTTATTAAATTAAAAGTTGTGAATAATGTGAAATGATTGTGTAAAAATTTTGAATCCTACTAACTACGTAAACAAAATTGAATTTAACGGTGTTATAAGTAATTATAAACTTTGCTAAACAAGGACACGCACGACACTTGAACCACCACTTTGGAAATTGAATGGGCGACAAAAATAATTTGGTAAAAACTAGATAAGGGAGAAAGAAAATAAATAAAAAGAAAATATATATCTCCTTCCCATCCGCTGAAGAATTTTAAAATACTTCATTCGAAAGAATTAATCCACCAGAAATGTATGTGCATGCGATATAATCATTCATTTAAATCACGATACCTTAAACGTCGAATCATTTAAATTGCGAGACCTCTATGTCTCATGTAGTAAGAGAGAAACATGGTGGGTTGTGCGAGCCGAAGAATCGCGATTTGATTGACTTGAAATATGGATGTCTTGATTTAAATGGGTGATTCTACCTTGTGTACATATTGGATTGTACTATCAAATTGAAAAATCGAAGAAATTCTTATTTATAAGGTGACAAGACATTTAGTTTGGGTGGGACCTGACGGTTGCCCTCACATCTTCTTTCAAACTCTTGAACCAAGTCATTTTGGAGGAAATTTCGATGGCAATCAAAGATGGATCTCTGAATGAATGGTTACTAAAAGAGTTCAGGACTACGCTCATTGTTCTTCGAGCATTCTTGCTCCCAGGTTGAAAAATTTCAGGTCTCTCTATAGTTTTGGCTACAAGCTCTCTCAAAAATCTTAGGAACAATAGGCAAACAAAAATGATCTCTAATAATATATGCTTGTCCAAGAAAGTGGGTGCCACAACTTATCCTATGTCTGCACCCCAGGTAGCTATTGTTGTCATTGCACTTGTCAAGGATTTTCGGGAGGCGGATTTCAAATATCTTTTCCCTACTTAATTATTATTTTTATTTGAAGTTTTAAATATGCTTTACATTTGAAAACATAATTTTTTTAATAAAATAAAACAATTGAGGGCTTGGTTTGGAAATTCAAGGTGAAGACCGAGTTCCCCGTTCCTAAATGATAAATGAGATGAGACAGTGCGAGATAGGTCGTGGGCAAGAAATTTTACCATTTGTAACCATCTCACTCCACTCCATTGTGACTCCAATCCCGTCTTGGTTAGCTGAAGTAAGCCCCTGTTTGACAACCATTAAATGAGAAAAATCATGTTTTGAATAGGGATAGATAGGAATTTTGAATTTACATATAAAATATTTTAATGTTTGAATATGTGGTTAAAAATGAGTATGTAAAAAAAGTTTTCAAATAATGATTGTCAAACAGGGGGCTAAGTGTTTGCTTAGTAATGCTTATAAATTGTGAGTTCTACAAAATGTGTGAGAAATAAGTGAATTGTAAGTTACTAAGTTATGGTTTCTACTAGTTTACTATTTTTACTACCAAACATACATTTAAGCCCATGTTTGATGCCTATTATAAATAGTTTTTTTTTTGAAATAGTATTTTTTTAAAGAATATTAGAAAGTATGGAAAGTTAGTAAATTTATGTAAAATATATTATTGTAAGAACGTGTGGTTGAAAATGAGTTTTACGCAAAAAAAAAATAAAAAATCTTATCCTCTTATCCCCAAACAATCTTACTAAATTCATGAAGTTTGCATCTCCACCAACTAGAAAGATGCCTCACTAAATCTCTTTGGGAGTATCCCAACATCTTCATGACATTGTCCAATATAAATCTATTAAATCAATCCGAATTCACGTAGTCAAGATATGCTACCTTATCATGCTTGTACACAAAATTGCGCATCTTGACGAATAATATACCACCATGGTGTGCTTTATGGTGAAATAAGTTGAAGGGTTTGAATGCGTTAGGACTATTTTACTCTTATTAATTTAAAGGAAAACGACATTTTTGTATTTAATTAATGGAGGAACTGGCGAATAGTGGACGGAATGACGTTCTTTGCAAAGAAATGTGGAAATAAGGGGGGAAAAGAGCCAAAAAAATGAAAGATATGAACGTTTTCCACAATGAACTTAAAAGGTAGGGACATTTTGTACTAATTATCATTTTTAAATTAAATGACGAATAGTGATTGGACGGAATTGCCCCTTCTTAAAAGGGTTAATATACCTGATTTTTTAAATTTTCCAGGTCATCTGAAGGTGTTTTGGGCGGTTTTCGTCCAAAGGGACCCCACCTGCATATTTACAAAAGGTTAGGGACCTCTTCGACACGAAATGAAGGTTAGGGTAAAGTCTGCCAAAAATAGAAAAGTTAGGAACCGTCGCTGCAATTTTCCCTAGAAAGTATGGAAAGTTAAAAGAGAAGGGAAATGGACTATTTATTTGCATGACCTCTGCTAATCGACGTCTGACCCTGAGATGTGGATCATCCAATGCACATTAGATCCTTTCCTGAGAATTAGATGGTCTTCCTGAACATGATCTTACGACTTTGCGGAGACCTGTGTTTTTGGTAAACAGTTGCCCGAGCTTGGCAACTGCGAAATTTCAATCTATACCGACACCATAATATCAGATATCTTCTTGTTGGCACGGATGAATCAGTTACATCTTGTTCCTACTACTACCGAGTAGAGGACATTTCATTTACAGACTTTGATCTTTAAGGTGAAAGTGGGCCTTAGCTGGCTACCATTGATATTGACACATTTGAAATCGCCAAATGTTTGGGAGTTCCTGTATTCAATCCTTTTAAATTCTGTGGGTGGCGTAGCTTTCGAGATTAATGCAGTTCGTTCGATTTTGAAGGGGGGAGATCCTATAGGATCCTATTTTGTGTGAAAATATTTTATTGTGAGAATGTGTGGTTAAAAACGAGTGTAAAAAAAAATTGAAGAATGGTAGACATATAGGTGTTAAGAATTTTTAATAAGAAAATGTATTTTGAAATAGTAATTTTTTAGAAAATGTGCGATTAAAAAA